ATGTATATATGTATATATGTATATATGTATATATATATGTATATATGTATATATACGTATATTACATATATATACATATATATACGTACATATATATACATATATATGTATATAAAAATTATACATATATAATTTTTATGTACATAAGCAACGCATGGTCGTTTTCAGATAAAATTTATCGAGAAATAGATTAACAAGCTGAGAAGGATAATGAACGAAATATATCGTCGAATCAACGTAATTCTAGAAAAGAAAATACGCGGGTATACGCGCATTAGCGAAGTAGTATAGTTGGTTTGAGTGCGAGGGATCCGGATATTTGTATTGTCCGCTCGTTGCGGATATCCGTATTAACCGGTCAATGCTAACGTACAATTATCTAGTACAATGGCAGATATTGTGCGCGTTATTGAGAACATACCACAGCCGTAGCAGTCATTTCTTAAGCTGCGTGGAAGAGCTTCTCCTCCTCCTCCTTCTCCTTGCTTCACCATTATTATACTTTGTGCGCGACAATTCATTCAGCATGAAGGAGGAATTTATATCCTAGTGTAACCGATGGAGAATAAAACTCATTTAGGAGATACTTCTTCTAAAATCTATGTATAAAAGACAAGAACAGTATGGAATACAGTTTGTCCTTCCTCGTCTATGATAGACTTTAAAAAATTAAAGTTAAAATATATCCTAGACTAATAGTTTCTCGATACACGTAGGTTAACACATTTTTTTTTCACAGAAAATGACCTGCTGCATCGACTGATACAGAAAGAATTACATAATTATACTTGAAGAAATAGTAATGACTTGCTACACCTGTTTATCTAGAGATAACTAATAATAAGTATACCAAATTGTTGCCCTCCTAAAAAAAACGGAAAAAAAATGCATTAGAAACATTTCTTAAATGACGATATAGATTGAAATGGGACATGTTGTATATTGTATCACAAAATATGTATACACGATAATCCAAGATAAATATTCAATATTAAAAATAAAAGTGTCTTAAGGGTTTCGAGCCTTAACACCAGAACTCTACCACATCAGTCAAAATGACTAGTTTTAGG